GTGAACATTTGAATTACAAGTGTGAAGTAGGTGCTGCTTTTGGATAATTTGGTTAAAGAATAAAATGAGAATTCCCTGGATGCCTAGACTCTTCCCCGCAAGGTGATGAGGCATGACCTAGCTAAGCCTGGCGTAACAGCTTACTCTATGGTCTTAACCCCTTCATGCATTAATTAGAGTTAAGCATGTTGGTTATATGAGGCTGGATTTATCCCACAATAGGAACCTCATCCAAGGAAAGGAAAGAAGTATCTAGCCTCTGCCTGATTGTTTTTCTTATTCTCCAACTACCTGTAATAACTGGCTAGAAAACACATTAGAAAGCCTCATTATCAACTCAGTCACTTGCCAGATCAAGGGGAACCATGAGAATCATTGCACTGCCAGTTCAATAGATGATGTCATCACTCCTGCTGTGATATAAAGTCCCAGAGCTGTCACCTGGAAGATGGAGCAAGCTTGTTTTCTCCTGATCTGGAGGGTTAGACTTGAACGAATGGCTTCAAGTTACAAGAAAGGAGATTCTGACTAAACATCAGGAATAACTTTCTGACAGTTGTAGCTCTGTGAAGGAAACAGGGGTCTCCTAACAACTTTCAGCACCCTTAGCAAACTACAGTTCCCAGGATTTTCAGTGAAAGCTGTGACTATTAAAGTGACAAAATGAGAAAGCAGGAGGGACATTGCACTTGCCTATTAACAGTCAGCAGCTGAGCAATAGGTCAAACAGGTATGCAGCCACAGTCCTCCCATCTATGATGAGATGTATTGCATTTCCATTTCCATTATAGTAATTCTTTTCTAAATGTGCATCTAGACGTCCATACAGGCATATGCAAATTGCATGCAAATCTGCATCCTCCCTTTTGGCGACGCCCCAGTTGCCGCCGCAGTGCTGAGACCAGCTTGCTGTTCCATGAGAAAACAAAGATCACCAGGTGCTTTCATCTCCCTTGGTCACATAGCGCAGAAAGCATTACTTGAAAACAATCCTCTCTTAGATGCCTTCATCTCCACCAGTCTGGATGTTTACTGTACTGCAGAACGACATGGAATTATACCCTGCAGGGAGTAAAACTGGTATAAACAGCAGCCTGGCACAGATATGAATGCTCGCCCTGCTGAGTGACAACATAAGAGATTTCTGGTCTGTGAAGCCAAACCATTAAAGAAACATGATGAGAAATTATTAGAGGCCCCACAGAAGTTATTCAGCGCCTGCAACGAGATGGATTTAATTTCAACATGTGGTGATGCCTGCTGAAAGGAACACACAGGCAGGCTCAATTGACTCCCTCCCTCCCTTCTTTTCTATTTCTTCGGAAAAGATAGGAGATTATTTGGAATCTTAATGGGATTTTTAAAACATAGATTCTCTGCGAACAGGTGCGGGCAAGACTAATGTCATCTGTACAGCCCACAACATCAACACACCTCTGCAGTAAATAAATGTTGGATGTAGAATTCACCTTCTTTTTGTCAAGGAAATATTGGAAGGTTCTGAGGACTACGAATACTGGTGTCAGAAGTGTGGGGTAGTGTTGATCTTACAGAACAGACATGGAGAATCTGTGGCTTTCCAGAAGTTGATGGAGTCCAGCTCCTTTTATGCTCTTGAAAAATCAAACAACAGAGGAAGGGAAAGCTCCCATCCCTGGAATGACTGCAGTTTAATTCTGTCCCCCCTGCCTTCTGCCATTTAATGGCACGATGGTTAAATGAGCAGCTTGGATCGCCTGAGTCGGGCAACCCTTGAGTTGAAGTTCAAGGGGAACACAAAGGACGCCGTCACAGAGAGGCAACACACCCACGCCACTATTCTTTCCGGGCCTGCCGTTCTGACAGATAATAATTGACAGGACTGTATAAGTGGACTGCCAGGGGAGTTTAGAAACTGCATGGAGAAAGCTCAGAGGGCGCTTGCCAAGAGACACGATACAGAACCCCTGGCCTTTCCAAAACACACTTTCCCATCCAGAGGCAGCACAGTGCCATTCATTTGTGACTGTGTGCATCCCAGCCGAAGGCTGTCTTTTCAGAAATGCTTACATGGGTTCTCATTTCATCTTAAACAGAGGAAGAATAATGACAGGAGTCAAAGTCACTGGCTTGCTTCCCCCCCCCCCACTGCCATATATATATATATATATATATATATATATATATATATATGCTTAGCAATTCCGAGCCTTCCAGCAATAACAAGTCCTTTTGATTTGCATTGGGTCTGTTTGCCCAAGTTCAAATTAGAGAGCTGTACAGGGAGGAAAATATATATGTTTTGCCTTGGGGGCTGTAGCGTTTGCGCTGGCACAAGGATGTTAATGGGAAACCACCCCCAGACCCTGGCAGAGGGGGTGTGTGAAGTGGAAACCTGAGATATGTTGTGTGTGGATTTATGTGGATTTAGTATACAGTAGGGGACGCGGGTGGCGCTGTGGTTAAACCACAGAGCCTAGGACTTGCCAATCAGAAGGTCGGCAGTTTGAATCCTCGCGTCGGGGTGAGTTCCCGTTGCTTAGTCCCTGCTCCTGCCAACCTAGCAGTTCGAAACCACGTCAAAGTGCAAGTAGATAAATAGGTACCACTCCGGCGGGAAGGTAAACGGCATTTCCATCCTCTGCTCTGGTTCGCCAGAAGCGGCTTTGTCATGCTGGCCACATGACCCGGAAGCTGTATGCCGGCTCCCTCGGCCAATAAAGCGAGATGAGTGCTGCAACCCCAGAGTCGGCCACGACTGGACCTAATTGTCAGGGGTCCCTTTACCTTTACCTTTTTAGCATACAGTGGTACCTCGGGTTAAGAAGTTAATTCATTCTGGAGGTCCGTTTTTAACCTGAAACTATTCTTAACCTGAGGTACCACTTTAGCTAATGGGGCCTCCCGCTGCTGCTGTTCTCATCCTGAAGCAAAGTTCTTAACCTGAGGTACTATTTCTGGGTTAGCGGAGTCTAGCCTGAAGCGTCTGTAACCCGAGGTACCACTGTATAGCCAAAGGAGGGCTGCTCTACCGGCAAAGAAACCTTCATGTCCTGGTGATGCCATCAAAATTTGCAATGACTTATATGAGAAGACAACCTTGTGCTAGGAGTAGGCTGCACTGGTCGGCCCAAAATGTTCTTCACAGGTTCAAATTTTTAGTCCAGGCTAGTGCACCCTCTCTCCTCGGTGCATTATGCACTGCAATGACAGTAGCATAGTGTCAGGGAACTGCCATCAGTGCAGGAGGGAGAGAAGAAAAGCCGGATGGATTACAGAGAGCCCCCAAAGGTCGTGGAAAGCAGCTCCTCCTTGGTGGGGAAGAGTAACGACACCTCCAGTGGAGAGGAGCTGCAGGGTTTGGAGGAGGCGAGGCGGTGCCAGGACACCTTGCCTGGGCAAAGCGGGGAGGGGAAAGGTCCACCGTTACCCACGCCCTCCTTGCACAGTAAGGTTTCGCGCAGAGAGGGGAGGTCAGACTGGGTGTCAAGACTGGGCGTTACCTTGCTGGGGAAAGTTTAAGCCCCGCCCACTCACGGATTCTGCCAGTGAATGAGTCAGCCACGGGAGAGTGGTGCTCTGGACAGATAAAGTTTATTTTGCAGCAAAAGCAAGGCTTCACAGCTGAGCAGGGAGGTATTTGCCTGCTTGCTCTCAAGCAACCCCTTGGAAACGTAACACATAGGTTTCAAGTAGCCTGTAAGATATAATGCTCAATAGAGCAGCATTCAGGTGTTTGAACTGGAGGTACCGTGTTGATGCTGGAGTGACTTGGCCAGGACTGCAGAGCTTAAATTTGCTCTATCCAGGCTAGGGATGGGGAAGAAATTTAAGTGAGTTGGCATTTCAAGGTGAACCAACCTCGTTTGCACTTTCTGGAGCAATGCAAAGACGGCAGCACAGCCATCCTTCGAAAATTACGCTTCTCCAGCTTTTGCACTGCTAAGTAACGTGCGCAAAAAATGCATGTACTAGGACAAAGTTTGCATTGAAATGCATAGATTAAAGGACATAACATACAAGAATGCATAATGTCGGTGAAATTTGCTATGCAAAATTATGCACAGTAGGCAAAATTACATGCGTATATTTAGAGGCATTTGCATGAAAATGCTGATGAGGTTTTTAAAATCACTAACTGATGTGTACTGTGAAGAATTGAACGTAAAACTGAAAGAAATGAGGAACTTCAAAAAACAAAACAAAATAGATTCACTCATCCCTAATCCACAATACTTCTACGGTGTCATATGTACAACTGGAGATTGTAGGGTGTGAACAGGATCAAACCCCTGTTGTTAAGTGTGCCTGTCTTTTTCTAATACGATCTGGACTAGATTCAAATTCCTGCACAGGCTTTTTTTCTTTTTTTTAATCCCCATTAAATATTTTGCAAACGGCGGACATAATTCTGAATTAAGAAGTCCAAGTTCAACTCTGAATTTTAAACTGTTGATACAAGGGTACTTAGAATTAATTAATGTCGCTGTTACATATGCACTCCAAAAACGATGCTAATAAACCGCTGAGTCAACTTGAACTCTCATCTCCGTCTCATGTTTGTGAAAGAGGGAAAGAGATGACAGAGGACATGTCAGGAAACATTTTTATGGCGTTTTGTTCCTTTGAAAGGAAAGAGACGGGAAAGGAGAACACAAATTAGCCTCGGTATCAAATATTTATGTGCCTTGGTTATGTTCGCCCTCCTCCCCTAAAAGCATCATCACAGAGCCTGACACGAGATGTCAGAAAAAGAGAAGCAAATCCGTGAAATTCTTTGATAGCATTTTTTCTCCTGAAAGGTCAATGAAGAAAGAAAATCTTCCAAATGCCGCATCTAACACCATGTTTTGCTCCGCGGACTTTAATTAAAACTTGAGAATCTGAAGGCCTGGGAAGGATAATTATATCAAGCAGCAGGTACACAGGAAGCACCCTTGTGCAAAATCAAACCATCGCTCCATCTGTCTACTCTGATTGACAGCAGATTCTAAGAATTTCAGGCAAGAGTCTCTTCTAGCTGGAGGTGCTGGGGATTTGAACCCGGGACCTTCTGCATGCAAAGCAGGTGCTGTGCCACTGAGCTACAACCCTTCTCCAAAACATAGGAAGCTGAATCAGACCATTGGTCCAATTAGCTCAGTAATGTTGACTCTGACCAGCAGCAGCTTCCCAGGATTTCAAAGAGAGGACTTTTCCCATCCCTACTTGGAGATGCCAGGGATTGTATGTGGGATGTTCTGCATGCAGGGCTGATTTAACCATTAAGCAAAATATGCTTAGGGCATCGAGAGAAGGGGAACACCACCCAAATTTTCCATTGCCGGATTTACAATGGACCATATGGTGCAGCTGAACTAGGTTCAACGAAAAAAGGCTCCCACAGAAGAATCTTTCTTTGCATCAGCCACTAGCCATAGCAACAAAACAAAACAAAATAAAACAAAACAAAAAACAAAGCAAAGCAAAGCAAAGCAAAATGCACTGAAGAAAGAGGTAAAAATTTAACTATGCAAAATATATTTGGGGGGTTTACATCAATAATCAAATAATAGATCTTATTCTAATTGCCCCCGCTAAGAACCTTGCAGTTTTTGCTGTCACCTGATCATCTTGATCTGCTAAAAGAAAAAACACAGTAGCAATGGTTGAGCGACCTGGCATATGGGGTTGTGGAGCTCATCTCGTTTTCAGGCCGAGGGAGCCGGCATTTGTCTACAGACAGCTTTCCGGGTCATGTGGCCAGCAGGACTAAACTGCTTCTGGCACAACAGAACACTGTGACAGAAACCACGGAAACACCGTTTACCTTCCTGCCGCAGCAGTACCTATTTATCTACTTGCACTGGTGTGCTTTTGAACTACTAGGTTGGCAGGAGCTGGGACAGAGCAATGGGAGCTCACCCCATCACGGGGATTCGAACCGCCAACCTTCTGATCGGCAAGCCCAAGAGGCTCAGTGGTTTAGACCACAGCACCACCCGCATCTCCTATGGACAATTATAGAGGGGTAATAACCTCACTCCTCAAATCTTTATAAAGAGTGCAAGGCAGAAGCCATGAGCCACTGACTCACACAATATATGTGTCATAAGTTCAGTGCAACAAAAAATGTAAAAGCAAGATTCACTCATGCTGAACTTTAGAAAATAAATGTAGAAGACAATATTTCACAGTGTATTATTGTTTGCATTTTGAATTAGATATATATGGGGGCATCAAAATCTTTCAAGTTGTCCGGGCCTCTAAAGGTCTTAATTTGGTGACTGGACTGAACAGTCAGGGGTCCCTTTACCTATTTGGATACAAATACAAATACAGCAGAGATTACTCAAGCTGAGTTTTCCGGGGAAGAGGTCTTTTCCCAACCTCCATTCCTAGGGAAAACCGACCGACAAACTTTATTTCTGATTTGTAGCCCTGTGGCCAAGTATTTTGTGACCTAAGTAGGAAGGGAAACATTACAGAAGAACTGGAACAAGTAGCCTGATTTCCTCACAGTTGTATTGAATTGTGTGTCATGTTAATTTGATAAGTAGAATGTTCATTTATTACATTGACAGAGAAGGGCCTAAAGTGGAGGCGAGTTTCCACCTAAGGCTGAGTCCACACAGCAGTGTTGCCCCATTTCTGAGCATTCATGTGACATAAAAACCGCTTCCAGCAATAAAGCAGAATATATAGTACAATTCTGTAGCCACATGGCAGTGCATCCCATGTTTCCATTGTTTCATTAGCTGTTAAGTTCTGCAACATATTGGTGCTTTCATACAACATGAAAGGTACTTCCAGACATATAATAGAGTGCTGTCAGGAATGAGCCAGCTCCAAGCGAAGGTTTGCAGCCAACTGCAGAAAGCAGCCAGGAACAGAGAGGCTTAGATGTTAGTCAGGCAGGGGAGAGCCAGCAGCTGCAGACTTCAGCTCTTCCTGACCTTGACAGGCAGGCTGATAAGGCAGTAGCTGAGAGTAGGCTAGAACGCAGCCAAAGCTCGCTGGAGGCACAAATACAGACTCTCAGAGCAGGAAGAGGGTGTAGCTGATCCACGAAGTCCAAAGAGTCAGCGAATGGGAGGGCTGCTGGATAGGAAGCAAAACAAGAGATGTAAGGGTCGTAAGTTCAATATCTTCTGTCAATACCGGAAGGAGTCTCCAGAAGCGTCATCTTGAGTAATGATGCCGGAGGCTTTGTCGGAGCCATCCAGAGCTACCTGTTTGTTTTTGCAATAAATCCTCCTTTTTAATTACCTACGCCTATGCTGGGAACCTGGACTCCTGGCAAGTGAAAATGGGATGACTTCTGTAATGATGGGATGTCCCAGGAAAATCGGGACGGTTGTGGGGCATGGTGCTCTCCGGCCTTCCACAACCCACTATCTGGCCCTCATAATATTCCTCAATCCCTTCACTGCCCCTGCTTTGCACCATGAGTGTTTTTGCCTGGCTGGAATGTGTCCTTGAACTCTGATCATGCCTCTGGCTTGTCTGCATGAAGGAATGTTTGAGTAGCTAGCCTACTGTACGAAGGGCAAAATACATTAATTGCTTTGCTCCCTTTTTCCTCTGCCCCCTCCCATGCACTCATGGCATGTGGCCTTGCAACAGTCAGGCATACTTGCTCCCCAGTGGCCCTCCTTTCCAAAATCAAACCCCACCAAAATATTCTGTTGCTTTTCTGGGTGGCTAGGAAAACCACCCCCAGGAGCACCATTCAAGATGTTGATTACCTTCCTTTAGTTCAACAGCATCCTGCTGGTGCAGATAATTGACCCACGACCCCTTTTATTGCTTTATTGCCACCGATTTAGCACCAGTTTATTCATCAACATCTGGTGGGCTGGGGGGGGGAAATTGTGCTTTATTTTTATTAGCTCTCAAATGGATGGCTAATGCAGCTTAATGGGGCAGCAACAAGCAATTAGAGTTTCCATTTCTCTCTCTCTCTCTCTCTCTCTCTCTCTCTCACACACACACACACACACACACACCACTTCCGTTTTAGAAAACCTCTCAATGTAAAGGTGCAGGAGGTAGTTTAATTAAGAAAAGTTGTGCAACTAATTGTCTGTTCACATGCCACATGAAAGCCTTGTGGGGTGGTATCCAATGTCAGTAATACTCAGAGTGCGCTGATTGAAACTGATGGGCATTGCTTGCTCAGCTCCATTAAAATTCAGTGAGTAGGTGGACACAATCCTATGTGTATGTAGGACTGAAAAAGAAGACACAGTAAAGGGAATGTGTAATTGAGAGATAAATATGGATGATTACCAGAGAAGCTGTAGGAAGTCCAAAAAGAGATAATTTGTGAAAATTTGGTTAAAATTGTATAATTGTATAACTGTGTTGAAAATTAATAAAAATATATGCAAAAAAAGAAAAGAAAAAGAAGACAGTTTTTCCATGCATGTTTTTGCTGTGGTGGAGAGAGGTATCTGGCATACATATTTTGTTCAAAAATACTCTGTAGGTAGGTATGGAATGTAACCTAGAAGCTCTGCTTTAAAAAAAATCTATCTAATCAATAAGTTTTGAAATAACCATTCAGCAATACTTCCAGTCAAGAATTCCAGATAGGGGGATCTGTCACTTTCATTTCTCCCAGTTCCTCATTTTTCCAAAATTAAATTCGGTTCTCCAAATTTCTGCAGCAATTCGCAAGTTTTTTTAAAAAAGAAATCCTCTTAAAATTATTCAGCATTACAGTGAGAATTTCTCCTAATAAACACATTTTTGTATGCAGTTTGGTCTAATGTACACATTTTGGCAGGCAGTTTCTCCTAATTCCATTTGTGTATGTTATTTTCATCGGTGTATGTTTTTAATGCACCCTCTTTCACAATACATGCGTTTTTGAAAACATGTGGTTAGAGAACTTCATTGCAAAATTCAGATAAGTGTGAATTTTGAAGGGTGGCTATGCTTTGGTTCTTACATAATTCTGGAAAGAGCAAATTTTATAGGCTTGAAAGGACTCACGGCATAATAAAGGACACCAGCTGCCACTCTGTCAAGCTATGGGAAGGGAGTGGAGATAGGATTGCAGGACCTCTCTGAAATAATGCCTAAGCTTGTTCCTCCCACCCTTCTCCTTTTGAATTCATTTTTCCTTTTGTGTTATGCCATTTATATTGTGCATCTGAGTGGTTAGTGGGGCCAGAGGCAAAAGTTGTTGTTATTGTTGTTTATACCCCACTCATCTGGCTGGGTTCCCCCAGCCACTCTGGGCGGCTTCCAACAAAATACAGTGGTACCTTGGGTTACAGACGCTTCAGGTTACAGACTCCGCCAACCCAAAAATAGTACCTCAGGTTAAGAACTTTGCTTCAGGATGAGAACAGAAATCGAGTGGCGGTGGTGTGGCAGCAGCGGGAGGCTCCATTAGCTAAAGTGGTACCTCAGGTTAAGAACAGTTTCAGGTTAAGAACAGACCTCCGGAACGAATTAAGTTCTTAACCCGAGGTACCACTGTATTAAAATACAGTAATTCATCAACAGGGCTGCCTTCAGATGTCTTCTAAAAGTCAGATGGTTGTTTATTTCCTTGACATCTGATGGGAAGGTGTTCCACAGGGCAGGCACCACTACTGAGAAGGCCCTCTGCCTGCTTCCCTGTAACTTTGCTTCTCACAGTGAGGGAACTGCCAGATGGCCCTCAGAGGAGGATCTCAGTGTCTGGGCTGAACGATGGAGGTGGAGATGCTCCTTCAGGTATACTAGGCCGAGGCTGTAAGCAGAGCAATGGTTTACTAGTGTCTACACACTCTCACATGCCCCTTACTAGGCATTATCAGAGTTCAAGGTCACATCTCACCCAAGGAAAAGCACACAAGGAGGGCCAGTTGGGGTTGTATCCAGGGGAGAGTTTCAAGGGCTGGATAGAGAAGCTTGGAGGGCCACATTTGGCCCCGGACCTGAGGTTCCCCACTCCTGAGCTATGATGATACCAATAATAGTGTCATTAAAATTAGATTATCAACGTTTGTTTCATTCCTGCTCCCCTACCCCCAGGCCTTTCTCTCTCCAGGCTGTATAATGGCTGTCGTTTCAAAGAGAACATCCACTAATCTAAGCTTATTGAAGCATACTGAAGCTGAGC